GGTTCTCCCGGCAGGTATCTGCTTGAAGATCTGAAAGCCCCTCTCCTGTGTGAGCTGGGGCAAACTCTCTTTAGTGGCATGCATTGACAATAAGAAGCATATTTAACAAACTTCAATAACCCTTTGTATCCCTCCTTTCTAAACCAAAAAACCTATATTAGAGAAAGTTTGGACCTAATGTTTATGGTGTCACTCCACCCTACTTCTCCCAGTTACCTGAAGCATAAAACCTCTAACATGTCACTGCCTCTTAATTCTATGAACAGAGGCAAAAATCACTAGGACTGTTTTTAAATTATTTTATCAATTCTTTTGACTTTGTGATTCCACTTGCGTATTGCTCACTTATTTTCTATATAGGACAGAAGCATTTGAATTATGCATAAAATCTTTTCAAAGGCATTTTTCAGATAAAATACTTTATATTATTAAGCATTGTAAAATTATTATTGCACATCATTTTTATTATGTAGCTCATTTTAAATGAGCCAGAATATTTTTTATCATTCAAGAAAAGCCATAGTTTATAGCTATAAATTGAAAATATATCTAAGCATTTTTCCCATAAAATATGCATGCATGATTTTCAACTCCATTTAACTAATGTGTTTTGGAAATATGTTACAACGGTAAATGCAACAAATCTCAGTCAAGGGAAAAAAGTAATATAAAAGTGTGATTAATAGCAATATACTTTTTTTTCATTTTACAAAAGTCCCTATTCTACCATATGAATCATTTTACATAGATAACCTCTGTATTTCCATGCCGTTTATCTAAACTGTAGCATCTCACAACTCTGGGTGCAGAATTGCAAATTCTATCGGAGAAGCAAACTCTCAAAACAGCACAAGTTACCCAGAATGCATTTACAAAGAAAAAAATTGCAACTGATAAAGAACAAAAAAAAAAAAAATCAAGAGAATCAGACATTGCCCACAATGTGGGTGCGGCATGTTCAGAAATGTAGTGTGTTTGTCATCATATTATTAGAATTCATGTCTTAATTGAATTAGTAATGTGGAAACAAAAACTGTTACATCATTTGGCTTTATGATCACACTTAACGCCTGGTGAGCACATAAAGGACATAGATAGTTCTGTATGTAAACATTCTCCTGATTCAGATGCTTTTCTCAGATGTGACTTCGCAGCAAACTCAAGCCAGTTTTTAAAATGTATATTAAAAACTTTGGATAAGCACACTTCTCTAAGGCAAAATTAGTGTGCGGCTCCTACTGTCGAAGCATTACTGTGCACGCACAGGAGGTCTAATTTTATGGCTTGCATGGTTGATAGGAGCTAGAGCTTTCCGTTCAACCACACATGTCATGAATAACAATACATTGAATTTACATAGCTGTTTTCCTCAGTGGAATTCCAGGAGCTACATAATCTTATTTGGACTCATCTCCTCAAGGAGCTGCAAACTAGGAAATGTCTCCATTTTAAACAAGGGAATGAGAAGGTATACAGAGACCGGCACACCTTGCACCAAGTAGATTAGAAAGCAGGTTTTTGGTAATAGCAGAACTTCGAATCACCTCTTAAATGTTTTACTGGCCATGCCCAGGCACCTTATTTTCTCACTGGCTAGGATCAGACCACCAATGTAAGACAGACAAGCCACAGCACTGAGACAATCTGACGTGTATGCTTTCAACCACTTTCCCTCTACTGCCCTCCCCACTCATTACCGACCGCTACCATCCTCGCTGACATTCACACCACCCGACTGTGTCTCATGATTGTGCCTTCTACAGGCTAGCACCCATTCTTTGCCTCAGCTCCCAGTGGTCCCATCTCCCCAGATTTTGTTTTTTACACATAGATATCTCTTGTTCATTCTTTTAGATTAGCAAATCCAACCACAGGACTCTCTCCTCAACTAAGGCTTCTGTGTCCCAGTTCTCCTTCCTGGTTTCCCTGGGTATGACATCACTGACTCCTAGGAAGAGTCCCAGCCAGCCCCAGTACCTCCATGGCCCCAGCTCCCTCTCTAGGACTAGCAGCTCCTGTAGCAAGGGACTTCAATGCACTTCTGTTGTAACTCTGATGCCCTGAACATGAGGGAAACAGAGGCACAAACTAGATCCCAGGAAGCCTCACCATTGTGTGGTCACAGGCATCCTGCCATTCACTGGCCAAAGTGCTACAGACACCTAATGTCCTTCATAAGGGTCACAAGGGTAAGGAAAAACCACGTTGTGGCTGGACAGACAACCCCAAGATAAGCCAACAGGAATCACAGGACTATGACATAATCTTCGTAAGAGAAGGGCCATTAGATAAAAATAGTCTTCTGGTTCAAACTTTGGCACCATAGCTGTATTGCTCCTACAGTAATCTATAACACTACAAAAATGTTTAAGTGGCGACAAACCTGAACACAAATGCACAAGGATAAGCTAACAGAAACTGGGACTTTGCTACCCTTTCCAGGATTCCCACCTCTGGACTTCCCATTATGAAAAAAATAAATAAATCTATTTTGGTGCAGTCGTTGTGGCCAGGCTTCTCTATTTTTTCTATTATTTGCAAACAAATGACTTCCTAACTAACACATCATGGCTCAGGTTTCACACACACACACACACACACACACACACACACACACACACACACTAAGTTTTGACCTGACCAAGCTCTTCTTTTCACATTCTAATTAGTGGTCAAAACTCAGAACCTTACTTTCAGATTTGTTTGCCTTTTAATTTTTAACTGGAAACACTTCTCAACATTTTCCTTACAAGATTAAAGCCCCTTCATCCTTTGAAGAAAACAAAATGATGAGACAAAATAATATTTATGCATGAACTCTCCAGTAATACACTCTGTCTTAAATAAAGGAACACAAAGTGCTAGAAAAGTAAATAATTTCATCACAGAAGAACGAGGTTTGATTTCGCTCCTCATTACCCACTGAAGTCATCTAAAATTCTCCAAGCCTCAGTTTCCTTATGCATGAAATAAAGACAGCAGTATCCACCTCACAGAGTAGCCACCAACATTAAATGAAAGCGCACATACATGTATAACTGTTATTATTGTTGACCATAATAACTACCTGAAGATCTTCTCTTCATATGAATATGTGGCATTTTAAAACCAATTTCTTGGGCCGGGGAGATGGCTCAGTAGAATAAGCGCCTCCCTAGCAAGCGCAAGGGCCTGAGTTCAATCCCCGGTTCCGCCAAAAAAAAAAGTGATACACAGAAATAAATAAAAATATAAAAACCAATTTCTTTTCTGAATATATCTCCTATAATTTTGGTAACAGCCTCTGTCTTCATAAAATGATCCTGTCAGCTGGGTAGCTTATGAGCAAAAATAAGTTGTTTCTCACAATTCTGAAGGCTGTTGAATCCATCATCAAAGTACAGGCAGATCCAGTTCCTGCCCAGGGGTGTCTTCTCACTGCGCCCTCATGTGGTAGAAAGGGGCAAAGCAGCTCTCTGGGGCTTCTCTTATAAAGGTACTGACTCCAGTCACCCAATATCGAATCACCCCCGAAGACCCCACCTAACACTACTGGTGACCAGATTTTCAGCTTATGAATTTTAGAGTACAAGCATCCAGACCACCTCATGCGCCCCTATAAAACCCAAGCTAAAGGTTACCTTTCTTTTGGAAGCTCGGTTCTAATTAGAAGTAGCCTGAAAAGACTCCTCCAGAAGGAGTCCTCTGGTCTTGGGCCAGAGATGTATATCAGGGACATCAAAAGAGCAGGCAGTCTAGCCTCCTGTACTATATCTGACCTCAAAACCAAATACAACTGGAACTCTGGAATTTCCTCACATACAGATTTTGAATATTTATTTCTCTTTGTGTGCAGTGAGCTTGTCTGCTCGCTGTTGCCTCTTTAATAGAGCTCATCCTCTGGACTGTGTGAGTGTGTCCCGTATCATTATTTTTCTTCAGAAAATATAGAAAAAAGTAAACAGTATTTGTAAAAGTTGGGAGCTCATTTGCCTTCCCTTCTTTCCTTTCATTCTTCCACTTCATGAGTAAGTGGCCATAAATATCCAGGAACTAAGAAGCTTTGGAAAGAATTTGAGATTTATATCTTACAGACATAAAGGAAAACTTGGCTGCTCCAAGGACTTGGGGATTTCCTAGCCAAGCAGAAAAGCAGTACATGTTTCTCAGCATGCTGTCCTTAAGTTGTCATTGTCATTTCCATAACGCTTAGACCCTGTGATTTTTAAATGACTGTATTATCTGCGATATGCAGCACCGCGCTGATGAGGGCTACAAACATTTCCTTGTAGAGTTTAGGCTTCTGTCCCTTCTGTCAAGACTGGTAATTGTCACTGTCTTCATTTCTGCCTGTGTTTCATGTGGATGTGGACATTAACTTCTGCACCAATTTCTATGAATACTCATTGCAACCTTGTTGATCATCAAGCCTGACAAGCATAACCTTGAGAACGTGAAAGCCAGCTGAAAGCTGATCAGAGAAGTGAGGCCTGTTCCTGTGACAAGGGTATTTGTGAGACAAGGGTATTTGCAGCCTTTGTTGCTTCCCTAAAACCTGGATCCACAGCCCACCGTTGGTCCCCAGCTCTATTCTCAGGGCTTCTAGAGATGATTCAAAGGTAAACATTGTCACATTTCCCATGGTTTCTGCACAGAGTCCTGTCACTGCCTGGAGGTGGACAGGGAGGTTATTTACCAACTTGTACAACTACTTACATTCTCAGAATGTTGTTTCCTCAGCTATAATATGTAAAAATAATGACAACATATGGGCACTTTCTCCTGTCTCTGAAGTAGAAAATAAAAGAGTCTAAATGATGTTAATTTCTTTTTTTTATGTTAGTTTTTAAAAAGCATTTATGCCTTTAAAAAGTTTACATCAAGCCAGGGATGGTGGCTCCTACCTGTAATCCCAGCAGCCTAGAGGCTGAGGCAAAAGGATCTCAAGTTCAAAGCCAACCTAGACAACATGGCAAAACCCTGTCTTTAAAAACCAAGAACAGGACAGCGCTTCCGCCCCGGCGGCCAGCCACGTCCCGCACGTAGCGGTCTGGGCCGGGGACTCCGCTGCTCCGGCCAGGCTCGGCATGAAGCTTACCCGGCTGCTGCGCGGGGCCGTGTCGGACCGCGGCGTGCCGGGTCAGGTGGACTTCTACGCGCGGTTCTCGCCGTCGCCGCTCTCCGTGAAGCAGTTTCTGGACTTCGGATCAGTGAATGCTTGTGAAAAGACCTCATTTATGTTTCTTCGACAAGAGTTACCCGTTAGATTGGCAAATATAATGAAAGAAATAAGTCTTCTCCCCGATAATCTTCTCAGGACGCCATCCGTTCAGCTGGTACAAAGCTGGTATATCCAGAATCTTCAAGAGCTTCTTGATTTTAAGGACAAAAGTGCTGAAGATGCGAAAGCTATTTATGAGTTTGTTTAGCTTTACAAATATTGTAATACGAATCCGAAACCGACACAATGACGTCATTCCCACAAGGGCCCAAGGTGTGATTGAATACAAGGAGAGCTTCCGGGTGGATCCTGTCACCAGCCAGAACGTTCAGTACTTTTTGGATCCATTCTACATGAGTCGCATTTCAATTAGAATGTTACTCAAGGGGCCGGGGAGATGGCTCAGTAGGATAAGCGCTTGACTGGCAAACACAAGAATCTGAGTTCAATCCCTGGTTCCTCAAAAAAAATAAAATAAAATAGAATAGAACGTTACTCAATCAGCACTCTTTATTGTTTGGGGGAAAAGGAAGTCCATCTCATCGAAAACACATTGGCAGCATAAATCCAAACTGTGATGTAGTTGAAGTTATTAAAGATGGCTATGAAAATGCTAGGGGTCTAAGTGATTTGTATTATATTAACTCTCCTGAACTAGAACTTGAAGAACTCAATGCAAAATCACCAGGACAGCCAATACAAGTGGTTTATGTACCATCCCATCTTTATCACATGGTGTTTGAACTTTTCAAGAATGCAATGAGAACAACTATGGAACACCATGCTGACAAAGGTGTTTACCCCCTTATTCAAGTTCATGTCACACTGGGTAGCGAAGATTTGACTGTGAAGATGAGTGACCGAGGAGGTGGCGTCCCTTTGAGAAAGACTGACAGACTCTTCAACTACATGTATTCGACTGCACCCCGGCCACGAGTGGAGACTTCTTGAGCGGCATCCCTGGCTGGTTTTGGTTATGGATTGCCCATATCACGTCTGTATGCACAGTACTTCCAAGGGGACCTGAAACTGTATTCCTTGGAGGGCTACGGCACAGATGCTGTTATCTACATTAAGGCTCTGTCAACAGAATCAATCGAAAGACTCCCAGTGTATAACAAAGCTGCCTGGAAGCATTACAATACCAACCACGAGGCTGATGACTGGTGTGTCCCCAGCAGAGAGCCAAAGGACATGACAACGTTCCTCAGCACCTGATGCACTTGGGACATCTGCAATGTTCAAGTGTGGATTTGATGTTAAATTTGGAAGAGATATTGTTCAGAACTGTATTATACCAAATGCTTTGTGTGTCATTTTCACAAATAACTCTTTTGGGTAGAATAAATGGAAACTGAATTCTATTTGTGCCTGTTAAACCTCCTAAAGAATAAGGGTACACCTATTTTACATGTATATTTGCAAAATTAATTGAACATATTT